AAGTATCAACTTTTTGTGAAGCTATTCAACTAATTAAAGAATTCACTAATATATTTTCTAACTTACTTTCTAATGAATTATCACTAAAATATGCTATAGATCATGTTATTAATTTGATATTTAACTTTGAATTATTATCTTATCCTATATATTACTTATTTTATATTAAAATAGATAAATTAAAAAAATAATTATCTGAGTTACTTAGCAAAAATTTTATTTATTCAAGAGTATCTGTTTTATTTGTATATAAAAAGAAAAAAACTCTTTAACTTTATATAAATTATCATACTTTAAATAAAATTATAATTAAAAATTATTATCCTTTATCTTATATTAATAAATTAATGAATCATTTAGCTAGAGTATAATATTTTTCTAAATTAAATCTCTATTCTAAATATTATTAAATTAGAATCAAGAAAGAAGATATTTATAAAACTATATTTAAAATAAGATATGATCACTATAAATTTCTTGTACTATCATTTGGTCTTATTAATGAATTTATAACTTTTATAACTCTTATAAATAATATTTTTCATGACTATTTAGATAAATTTGTTATTATTTATCTAAATAATATTCTTATATTTAGTAATACTAAAAAAGAATATCTTAATCATCTTTATATTATTCTTTTTAAACTTTGTGAATTTATACTTTATACCAAATTGAAGAAATATGAATTCATTAAGTAATATGTTAAATACTTAGGTTATTTTATCTTGAATCAAGAAATCTCAATAGATAAATGCAAAATTGCTACTATTTATAACTGATTTCAATCAACTAATATCTTTGAGTTTTAATTATTCTTAGATTTTGCTAGTTATTATAAGAAATTTATCAAAGAATTTTCTGTAATTACTTTATTATTTATAATCTTACTTTATAAAGATTATGAATATATTTAAAATGAATCTGAACAAAAAGTATTTAATAATTTAAAATAATATTTAATTATCATATTTGTCTTAATTTTATTAGATTTTAAGCTACTCTTCACAATCATAACTGATATATTTGAGTTTGTTATAAGAGCTATTCTTAGTCAAAACTATGAAAAAAAGATTAATCTGTTACCTATAAATTATGTAAATTATCATCTGCTGAGCAAAATTATTCTATATATGAAAAGAAACTTCTCATTATTATATATACTATTTATCTTTAAAAATTATATTTGAAAGATTAACACTTTACTATTATCACAGATCATATATCTCTTGAGTATATTAAAATATAGTATAATCTTTTTAAATATCAAGCTTATTGGCTAGAAATCTTATAAATTAATAATTTTATTATTAAGTATAAATTGAAAAAAGAAAATATTATTACTGATATTTTATCTATTCTATTATAAGTAAATAATCTTACTATAATTTCTGCATAACTAATAAATAATAAAAAGTTATAACAAGAATATGAGAATGATAATTATTTTAAGAAAATTTAAATATTCTTACATAATTTTGAATTAGTTATATCAAAGTAATAATTAAGAATATGTCATTTTGAGTTAAAAAATAATAAGATCTATTTAAAAAATACAGAATAACTTGTCATATTCAAGAATAAATCTTTAAGAATATAAATCTTGAAAGAATATCATAATATTTCTATTTTTAGTTATCTTAAAATTAATAAAACTTATGAGTAATTATAATGATACTATTATTAGTTAAAAATATTCAAGAATATTTATAAATATATACTTAATTATAAAGAATACTAAAGAAATAAAAATAATAATCAATCACCTACAGATCTTCTATAATTCTTGAAAATATCTAAATAATACTAGAAATAAATTACTTTGAATTTTATAGTGTAATTACTAATAACTTGCCAAGAATATAATATAATTTTAGTTATTATAGATTATCTCATCAAATATATTTATTTCATTTCTATATATATTACTATTATTATATTTGAAATTGCTAAATTCTTTTTTAATAATATCTTTAAATTATATAAATTATTTCATATTATAATTTCAGATTGTGATATTAAATTTACTAGTTATTTTTAGAAATTTTATTTGAACAAATTGATATTAAATTAGTTATGTTAACTGTATTTCATTCATAAATTGATAGATAAATTGAGAGAATAAATTATACTTTAGAAGAAATATTAAGAATCTATTCTATTTATAATCAAGATTATTGGGATGAACATCTTGCTGCTATTGAATTCATATACAATAATTTTATTTAAGCTTCTTCTGGTTATATATCCTTTAAGTTAGATTATAATTAATATTTAATTATATCTGTAATACTTATTTCAGATAATAAAGTCAGTATAACTGATAAATTTATTCAATATTAAAATAATATGATAAAAAATATAAAAAATTTATTAATAAAAATATAGAATTATCAATCTAAATACATTAATCAACATCATTATTATCAAGAATTTAAAATTAGAGATCAAGTTTTACTTTTAACTTATAATATTATTAATTTCATAGATAAATAATATTCTAGTAAAAAGCTTATATCTAAATATATTGATTCTTTTATTATTCTGAAGTAATCTTATCTATTGCATATAAATTAAATTTATCTTTATATATGAAAATTCATCCTGTCTTTTATATTTTATTATTAAAATTATATAATTCTAATGATAATAAAGAATTTATTTATTTAATATTATTATAATCAAATATTATGTCTGAAACTGATGAAAAAGAATTTGAAATTGAAACTATTCTAGATAAAAGAATTACTTGTAATAAATTATAATATTTAGTTAAATTACTAGATTATTCTCTTTATGATTCTACTTAGACATCTTTGAAAAATCTTGTAATATTATAGAATTTATAAAATTTTTTGAATTGAAATATCAATAAGAATATTAATTCTTAAGAGAAAAATAATATAACAAATTATATTTACTCTTACAGTTCATTACTATATCACATACTGTGTTATACATGATATTGCATTACAAAAATCATCTCATAAAGTCACATAATATACTTGAATTATTTTAGTTATAGATAGTTTTCTTAGTAGAATTTCTCTTTTCTCTTATTCTACTAATTTAACTAGTATATTATTATATTTATATATTTTATTTATAATTATTTATTTCTTTATTTATTTATTAATAAGTATCTTTTAGAGGTATTACTATATAAGTATTATCTATTATTAATTTTTATTTATTATATTACTAATTCTATGTAATATTAAATTATTGTTTAAAATACTATTTCTGTTCTGTATTTTTAATAACAATAACATTAATAAAGAATAAGTTTTAAATATAATAATCTTGTTTATCTTAAATTAGTTTTCTATGTGAATTCTATTTCAAATTACATTATCATATATCTTGAATCTTCTATATAAATTTTCCTGATATATTATATAACGTAACTAAAAAGGTTATAAATAATATTATTAAGCAATATTATAAGACTTTCTTAATTATAACTATAATTAAATTAAATATTTTTTAGAATTTATATTAAGATTATTAAAATTTATAAAGTATATTACTATAAATTTTTTGAGTTTTAGAATATAATAAATTTATTAAAATTAAAATACTAATTAATTATTAATATATAACTTGATCTAATTTCTGAATTTTGATATTTTAGTTTTTTTTTTAATTTTGATAATTATTCTTAATTATAACAAATAGATAAAGATTAGTTATTATTAAATTAATAAATACTTATATAGTTAACTAATATTTTTTAGCTTGAAGCAAGATTTTTCAATTTATTAATCAGATTCTGAAATATAAAAGTAAAATTAATAGATTAGAACTAGATTATATATTGACTTGATAGTATAATTTTATAAAAACTCTTTTTTAATATTCTTTACAAAATAAATTATGATAATAATCAAGATATTATTATATTATTAATTTGATATAGATTCTTTAATTTATCTTATCAAAAGTTAATCTTCTGTAATATATGAAATTTTCAAATTTTCAAATAAATTCAATTTAAAATATATTTAAACCTTATTATTTTATTTAATTAAAATTATATTTGAATTTTGTATTATTAAATCAAATTAGATAATGACAGCATTTTTTCTTAATCAATATTACTTTAAAGCTATATATATATAATTATTCAAAAGAATCTTAATTACAGAATTTAGAGTTATATTTCTTTTCATTATTTTAGCTATTTGAAATTCTAATCAAATTTTTATTATATATTATTTTCTTGTTATTAATATATAGTTCTTTATTTATTTTCTTTATTTCTTTGTTTTATTTTTACAATTATTATCTTATGAATATTTTATTTCATATTATTTTATTTACATTATTATCAAAATTGGATTTAGAATTTAAATAAATATTTAAATTATTTTTTTGCAAGTCTTAAGTATAATTGCTTTATTACTATTTGATACATTATTATGAAATAAAATTCCAGTTATTGAGATTAGTCTCTTCAAATAATATAATAAATACTGCAATATAGTAATGTTGAAGTTGTCAAAATGAAAACTACTGTGATGATCGCAAAGAATCGTTTCAAAAATTACAAAATGCTTGCGAAAAATGTCTCGAAACACTTGATTTTTAAGGAACCAAATCGCAAGATCAATTGTGCAACGAAAAAATTCAAAAAAAAAAACGTTAAAATACACGCACATGTAACTTGTATCTCGAAATTTTTACTATACATGTATGCTTCTGTGCGCGCAACATACATATTAAACAAACTGCGCTTGTAGATGTACATACATGTATTTTGTTAAAAGGACAAAAGGTTTCTTCATTTTCTCCATTTACGCGAACAAATCACTTTTAACGTCATGATGAAATATTCTTTAACAAATATTCAAATTAACTTCTGTATATTTTCAAAATAACCAAGATAATTTAAGTTTGACGCTAAAATTAATTAATGAAATGCACATGTACAAAAAAATAAATAATAAAAATGCAATGTGAGAATACAATTTAAAGATAATAACGATCAAAAGTACTAATCAAGTATTATTTCCGTTTAATCTCGCCGCTTTTTTCTTTTCCCAACAACTTTTAACAACAGACTTTACAATTTCTTCGCCCTCTTTCCAATTTTGTCTTGCCAAATTAACAACCAGATCAATTTGATCAGGTTTATAAATGAAATTATTAAATCGAGTAAATTTTTCAGTGCTAGGCACGAAATCCTTATCGACTTTTTCATTAGGCAGAAATGGCATATAGATCAATGTCGATTCGTGATTGGCGGCAGGTGTATAATCATTGTCTGTCTCGTTTGTCGGAATATAGTCGTAGACTTCTATGTATTTGCTCTCTGGAATACCCTCGCGTCTTACCCTTTTTAATCCACGGCGCGCTGTAAATATTCTTTGTTCATCTTCAAAATATTTATGATCAATTATTTGACTCGACGAATCAACTCCAATTATAATGTCGATTTTACGTCCGGGATGTGTGAATGGATAAAGTGGGAGATCATTTGAAGCTCCGGCATCCACAAAATCAATGAATGGTGATGTTTGCACACCTGGTGTGTACGGCGGCGGGTATAAATGATAGAGGAAGTTTCTATCGATGGATTGAGACATAATGTGATGTCCTTCAAATTTCAATTGTTTTTCTTTCCCAGCTTTCTCAAATACCTATTATAATATTATTTAATACCCAAATTTATCGAGACATGTATCTGTTAGAATTAATGACTTACCTCCGTATATAAATTATTCCAAGTTTTTTTGAGCCATCCCTCAGGTAAGAAAAGTTTAAATTGTTCAATATCTTTACTAAGAGGAGCTGCGGGTGCAGAACCAAACACGCTGTTATGATTAAGGGACGATAACGTATTAATCATGGTCTTTCTCTATTTTTTGTATATAGATAACTATTTATTCTTAAAGTTACCCAAAGAGCAGAGCAAAATTTCTCTCTGGCAAACGTTCCAAATTTTTTCCATCTTCAAATTGTCGCCCAAAAGCCCAACTAGGAACCCATGCTTCATACACAGTAAAATGTTATTTAATGGACTACAGTATAAAAAAAAGGCGCGGAAATAAAAATAGTACCTGGAAATTCGTCACATCCGATTTCAAATGGTGTGAATTCAAACCATTGAAAATGGTCGGGTTTTTTCTTGTGTTCTTCTAAAACTGTTTTATAATTAGGTAATGTGGCAGCTTCTTCGGGCGTCATAGTATCTTTCCAAGGGCGGCGATGATGGATTCTAAAAATACGTGCCTGTAAGTAAATTTAAAAGTTCAATAAAATGAAATAGAAACTTACGCAGTATAAATAGGCATCGGATTTTTTCCGCCGACCAAAAATCTTCTTTGTGCGCTTAATTTGAAATCCTGATGTTGGCTCGTAGGTTCTTCACCAAGTAAAAGACGAGATGCAAGTAATGAGCCAAACATATCAATAACCTTGCATTTAACATTCGATAATTTTTTTTGTGCCAATCCACCAAAAACAAGTTCAACAGCAGTTTCAGGAGAATTTGTTTGAGTTAATGCTTTCAATAGACCATTCGGTTGGTAAATTGCAAAATTGAGTCGTCTCTTAAAGTGATCGATTAATTCTTGGAGAGGGTTTTCAGTATCGGCAATTATCGATGTGTATTGTGTACCAAGATTCCAGCAACTGCCGCTTACACCTGTTCGAATGTAAAATATATTTAAATAGTTTTATGACATTTAAACTAAAAAAAAAAACAGTTACCAGAGAAATAGGTTCCAAGGTCCCATACACCAGAATCTTGAGCAGCTCGAAAATAGCCTACTCGTGCATATATTTCAAAATCATATTCTTGCTAGAATTAAACGATAAATGATTTGTATGCGTACCTGTGGTTGTAATCATTGCCCGGAATCCACCGCCACTTCCGCCAAAAGCTATTATTGGAATGTCACAAATATCAACCTCATCTATGTTAACACCAATATATTTGGCGAATTTTTCCCGCATGAACTTTTTACGTTCTAGCACAAATTTCTTTTCATCATCGCATATATCTTGCGATATCCTATATTTGAAAGATGGCTATTGCAATATTTCAAGAGAAATACACAAGATATCTAATTTCACAAACCTAACTGTAGCATCCCAATCCAATTCAGGATACCGAATTTTGTCAATACTCGACAATTTCACTTGTTCATCAAGGTTATCAAATGCATGGGCTATTTGTTTATTTTCATGCAATTTCTCGGGTACCATTTTATGCATAGCATCTTCGACATGATCTAATGCATTTTTATACCAAATTTTCTTCGAGCCAATTTTCAAAGTTGCAATCGTTGCAGTTGTCGTTGCTGTCACTTCAGAAGTTGAAAATTCTCCAAAAGTTTCGGAGTCGACAAAAACGGCTGTTGTTGGAGTTGCTGGCTTTGATTCGATTGGAATACTTAAATCATGTGATCACATTAATTAAAAGTATGTTTCCCTTAAAACTGTTGGTGTGATCAATATCAAATATAATGAACTTACCCTTCCCCATTTGTTGATTCCATTAATTTTTAGATTTAAAACAAAAATCTTCTTTACTTTTACTGACTAACAGAAAACGTGTGAACACAAGATCAAAATGCATTTGCGCACAATTACATGTACATGTGCATGTATTATGTTACATCCGTACGGCGGCGGTATGCTTATTTTGAAGAACCCGAAAAAGATCAACGTTTTATTTACTTTTTGCAATTATCATTACAAATCAACAGTTAGTGTTACATGTATTTGTCATTACATGTACTGGCATTGCATCCTAATAAGCTTAATACGCAATAAGAAATCACTTTTTCATAGCCCAAGTTGAAATGTGATATTTCATATAAACATATTCTAACAACCTGCATGTGATTAATGCAAATAATCTACCAAAATATAGTAAAACTTTCTTGAAATAATTCGTCCAGATAATTTAAAATAAAATGAGCTCAGGCGTAAAAATTCCTAAATTTAATTTTAAATTGTTTTTACAATCACCTGCAAAAGTTTCCGGCATCTTTTTTTGAACTAGAAACTTTCTTGAATTTACCAATTTCAATATACACGTTAGCTGGAATTATTCCGTTCAATAGTCGAACAGGGTAAGTTTCACCTTAGGTAAAACCAGGGCCAAATAATACTAAAAAATTACAATTTATCTTGTTTTTGCCCAAAAGCTAAAAAAGTTGCATTTCGACTGCATGTATATATTTTAAACTAAGATTGCTAGAACAATAAAGTCACGTGAGAATTCTTGGTCAACCAATCATTTTTTAGATCGCAAATCCAAAATTTTTTGTGTCGAAGATACTGAAAATAACTTTTGAGTTTTATTGAGCAAATCCAGGCTGAGTGACTAAGAATAAGTACTCAGCATGTAATTTGAATATAGTTTTTACCAACTTGTATACTTATTGACATGTGTACCTATCGACCGCGTAAAGTCTACAAAATTATCAACTTGTCTGCTTATCGACCATGTATGATGGCCTGTAAAGTCTACAAAAGCTAGCATATATACTACTCTTATCGATGTCAGATTGCAGTGTAGCCATAACAAAACTCAAATAGTTCACCATAGTTTTGACATAACTGACAAGTTTATCTTGTCAAAATCTAATACTAAAATATGGGTTAATTTTCAAATAGTCACGTGTTTTTTGGAAATAGTTAAGAGTCTAGAAGTTTTGCATTTTTTCTCATTATGAAACAATAAAAAATTAATTAACGCTCTTATATGTCGATGTATTATGTACTTGTATACTTGTCTGATTAATAATAAACAAATTCCAATTGCGCATACTTGTAGCTGGAAACTTTTAAAAAGTGATAGCTATTATTATGTAGAATATCTTAGAAAACTAGGAAACCAATTCTGGAAACTTTTGCAATATACAAAAAATTAGAAACATCATACTATGAAAAGATTAGCAAAAATTTTCAATTTATTTAAAATATTTTTCGATAAGGAATACTTTCAATTTTTCAGAATTTCCAATTGAATAAGTTTAAATTTCTGAAAGATAATAATGATAAAAAACCTTTTTTTTATTTTGTATCTTTATAATTGATCCGAGTTTATCACGCTTTAAGCATGCTATATTAAGTCTACATTAACGTAGCTATTATACGCGTGCTGCACGTCAAAACAGATAGAAAATGTATATTAGTGGATTTTTTATGAATTTCTAGAGACGTTTCGGATTTCCTAATATTTTTATTGAGGTTCATGTGGTTTTTTAAAGGGATCCTAATTATTCATTAATTCTGTAGAAAACCACATGTATCTCAATAAAACTGCTAGGAAATCTGGAGCTCTCCTCCAGAAGTTCATAAAAAGATCAGTAGAGAACAAATCCTTTTATACCTGCGACGATTTCACTGAGGATTGATTGCTAAGAGGATCTTATTCATTATGTTTCCGTGAAAGTATTATTATTTAATCAATGATGCCATTTCATTTTCAACGGCGCGGAAATCTATTTATTCATAAACCGGTTAAGGAAATAAAACATTAAAGTTATGTATTTGTTTATTTTTGTTGTTTCAATCTATGGGTTTACTATCTTTGGGAATATTTTCTTTATATTTTATTCTAAAAAAAGACATTTAGCCCCGCTATAAATAAATAAAAGATCAATTAGGAAAATTGAAAATGAAGTTTAACAAGCACGGCTAACATTAGCCGAAATTATTTTAAATGAACGATTAGATTTTCTAGGTTAAGGTTAAGGTTATCCAGTTATCCCTGTTTTCGAGTATTCAATTTCATGATTATCCGTATAAATTACCAAGGTAAATGGCCAAAATCTCCTATATTCGCGGCGCATTCAATCCGTAAATGGAAAGTTAAAGCGTTACAAAGCTAAAGTTGCGCATGGGAATTAATAAAGTTCGGCATTAAGATTCCGACTATCTCATCTAATGACCAAACTCGCGTGCCGCCGTAGTGGATGGCAAATTTAAAAAAAGATCGACCTAAAGCTTTTTTTTATTATTACCATGTTTGGTGATAAGATAAAAAGATAAATTTCGTTACACAAAATTTATAAAATTTTTAGGAAAAGTAATGGAACAATAACGATAACGATAACAATTTCAAGACGCGCAGTATTATTTGTTATAGCCTCCTCCGTACATTATAAATAATATTTTACCAGCCAATAGGATAAAAAATGCATCATCAAATGTAACAGAAATGGCTCTTGCACTTTTTTTGTTCTTTTTTTGTGAGGCTAATTTCGGTCTGCTACAAGTACTGTATTTCACGTATCATCCATTAACTTCTTTTTTTGATTATCACATATCATTCGTTATTTTGATTGATTATTCTTTTAACGTGTTGATAGTCTTGCAGCTCTACATAACGACAACAAGTAAAAAATCACTAATGTGGCGATTGTGAAATGTAATGCAATGCAATTATATTGCTTCCACAAGGAAAGAATTATGTGTATTGAATTTCTTATTAGTTTATTCTTCCTCATTGTTGCTTTTGAATCGGTCAGTTGTACATGTATATACATTGTTCGAGATTTTTATGTCATTCGATTTCGTATTTTCGGAAACACAGTATGCATTAATTTTTCCTTAAGAGGTACTTGAAAAGACAAAATCGATTGCCATGATGATTTAGTTTCTGACGCATGAATACTTTCTATGTTTTGCTAATTATAGAAGAAAGCTTAAAATTTTTAATTTATTTGAATTCAGTTATCTTTATCTACAGAGAATAGTAAATCGAAAAGATTAAATGAATCAGGGGAAACAATTACATTTCTTCGCCATTCTCGACATATGCAAGTTAAAAAAATTTAGCCAGCTGCGACGTCGGACAGGTTTCACTAATGACACACCACTTTCTATACACAATACTTCTTAATTATAGAAAATCAAATGAAATATATTTAATTTTTTTAAATTCTAGATTTTGTGAATTACAATTTCAAGGAGTCAAATTTTTTGTATTTAATCCCACGTCGTTCTGACGCTAAAAATTTCTCTATACATAGAACTAAAAAGAATATATTCCCTAACGTTCACTTCTTACTTCAACCTTTTTACAAACAACCCTTTTACCACTAAAAATCGCAACACCACTTTTCATATCAAAACGATGGGTAAAAGTAACGTTAATAAAAATACAGCCGTAAGTGCGAAGGAAAAACTCCACAGGGTTCAAGAAAAAAGCATAAAAAAGACGATATCAAAAAGTGAAAATAAACGAAACAAAATAATCCTTCCAAATGATTTCAAGCCAGATGTCGTCTATCAACCGCGGTTTAGCTTAGAAGAGTTGATTTGTGGTTCAGACAAAGTACGCAGCTCTTCAAAGCCACCTAGGCCTCTAAACAGTTATTTTTTACTTAAGAAATGCCTGCTCTTGGAGCTATGGGCACGAAACTTAAAGCCAACCATGCCTGCCGCATGCGTATTAGCTAAAAAACTCTGGGATAATGCCCCTGAGGAAGCTAAAAATATTTATGAGGATCTTGCAAGGCAGGCGGAAGAGTGGCACCAAAAAACATTTCCAAATTATGTATTCGAGCCGAAAAAAAGGCCACAATGCAAAAATAAGCCATTCCCAGAAAAGAATAGCTCGGGAATGCTTTTGACTTTTACCCTCGAGTCCCCTTCCCCTCAACAACCTCTTCAGATTCTTGAACCACCAAGACCTATTTCTGATGTAGAAACCACAAACAGAAATATAGAAGTTTCTGATGAGGGTATTCTCATCGAACAATTGAAAAATATACAACTTGATAATCTAAACAATGTGTACCTGGTGTCCCCAACACCAATGAATAATAGTTTTCAACATCAAAATGATGTTGACTACATGTATCAACATCAGGATGAAATCTCTCAATTTAATTATCCTGGTATTGAGAGCATCTTTTCTGATGTTGATGGGGTTATGTATATACAATATAAGTAAATAAGAAAAATAATGATTATAAAAAATAACTATAGACTTTATTTTATGATATATATGATATAATATATCAAATTTTATATATATAAGTATTATAAATTAAATAGCATATGCACAAAAATATGTAATCTTTATGTGTTGTTTAATTTTCAATTATAGAGTGCTTAATAAGTTTTATTTTATAAATTAAAATTACATGTAATAAAAAAATATTTTTCATCGCACCACCATTTTTATTTTAATGATGCACGTGTAGTTTGTCGATCCAGGAATTTACACATTGAACAATTGAATTTTATAATATCTTGTTTTTACTTGGCTTATAAAAGCATTGTCTAAATCATATTATCTTTTCTTAGCACATTATTTTGCAGTCATAAAAATTCTGATATTGAAGATGAAACTAATTAAAAGTGAGTGAATTATATAAAATACGGACAAACCTTTATCATGAGCTGCTACTAATGGAGGAATGCATTTAAAGAGGATGGTTTTATTAACACTAGAAGTTGCATTTAGGGAGGCTTCTCTGCTTCATAGACCATCGGTAACGGAATCATTATACGTAAAAACAATATGTTTGTTATTACGAATATATTTTAGAGAGATACTTTTTTACAAAGTTTAGTCTTTTGTAAACAGGCTGTCATGTGTTCTGTTTCGAAATTTATCCATTTTTTATTTATTTTATTTTAATGTCATTTCGCTTCATATCTCAAAACTTTGGATGTGTTCGATTACTTGCCCCAAAAATACGCCTTTCGTTTAAAATTTAAATTTTGTTATCTATCACGATTCCAGTATGATTATGCTTAATTTAATTAATTTATTCTTAAAATCTATTTAATAAAAATTTCCTTTGAGAAGTAAAATAAATTATATCATAAAGCTGACTTAAGGATTTTAAGAGCTCCATCATCACTGCTAATATCTCTTTGGGCTTCATTCATTCGACTTTGAATTTCCAATGAAGACAACGATGGCGGTACAATCAAATTCGATCTAATCTTATTAATTTCCTGTTCGCTAAATCCCAGTAGCGATAAATATGCATTCACAGATTTGTATGTTTCGTTGAATTTTTTTAGTGTAAGTATCATAGATTCGTAACTTTAAAGTATAAGAAAGCAAATACACAGAGTTATTATTAATTTTATTTTGGGGACAATAAATGACAACAACTTACAAAGCACCCATCATACGCCAAATTTGTTCAACTGTAAACGTCCCATCTAAACTATCTGCAAGCATTTGGGTCCTTTTAGGATCTGAAACTGAGATCATTAATTTTAAAAATCAGTCAAAGGTTATACGAACGAAAACAAAATATACATGTACATTCAAAGTTTACCAGAGTCGTGATGCGTCATTTCATACTCTCTTGCAATCACTTCTTCAGAAACCCCAACAAATTTTAAAACCAACATCCCAAATACACCAGTTCGATCTTTTCCAGCGGTACAATGCACAAGAAAAGGTGAGTTGGGCTGTGTAAGTATATGATTGAACATTGCTCGAAATGTAGGTTTTCCTTCCTCGAGAATCATCATATATCCTTTTAGGAAATTCAAAGTTATGTGACAAAATTAGGTATATTTATAATGTATTTTATGCATGACAAACGAGAATACCTGTTGAGAAACCTTCAGGACCTTGAGCATATAACGAGAATCGTCGATAGAATGTTTCAGGTGAATTATTGTCATCGTGAAAGACGGGAACAAAAATTCGCTCGATACCATCAATTTTACTATTTTTCAAAGAAAATTTATCATAATATAACCAATTTACATGAAAAATCATGTCACATGTACATACACAAATCCAAATTTTTCGATTTCGTGGGTTGATCTTAGATCGAATATCTTTTGAATGTTTAATTTTCGCAGTGTTTCTATTCCACTAGTAGTAATCCGTGAGAGTCTTATTTAACCAACAAAAGCGAGATCAATAATTTTAGTATTTAACTAATAAATAATGTAATTCGATATATTTAATACATACTGGGCAGAACGAAAAATATAACGCTGCCGAAGATACCCCTCCTCACAACGCCATCCACCCAGATCACGAAAGTTGGTAATTCCATCCACATTAATAATTCTTGGAAACCGTGTAAGGTACTTATTTCTCGCTTGAAATTGTGCGGTTTGGAAGGAATCTGAGAAATAATCTAGAAGAATGGAGCAAAGTTCTTCTTGATGTTTTGTGAATCCGTGATTGGCATTTTGTATTAAATGAAGAATGTGATTTGGAATAAGATTCGAAAACATTGCAGCGTCTTTGAGGGGAACCACCTTAACATATAATTTAAAGACGGAAGTTTAATGAATTTAGATAGCTAAGCAAAAGTATAGCATAAAAGTTGATATACTTTGTCAGAGGTCCCAAATATAGTTAAAACACACGTGGTTTCCGGAATATTTTGCATCACTACAAAATTTTTACTCAGTCTTTTTTTAATAAAATTTAGAATAGCCAAGGTTTATCAAAAATATACTTTGTTCCATCGAAGGAAATTTATCCATCCAAATAAGCTCCTCTTCAGTAAGTTTACATTTAATCGTTTTTCCTTGAACCTGCTCCTCCAAATAAGCATATCCAAATTTTTCCAACCGCTGCATCGGAACTTTTTCTTTAATGACTGCAATCTGTTTTGTCAAGTCGTAACCACCTGATATATTGACAACATGTGGGATTTTGCAGTTATATAGCGATACATATCCAAGTGCTCTGGTTCCTCCTGCAATAAATATTAATCTGCTTTATCGATTATCTTTCGGAACTTATATTAATAGACTGTTTATACCTTTAGAATGACCGATAAAAGCATATATGAAATACCCATATTCGTTTTCCAGAAAGTTAATCACTATCTGGATATCTTCAAAATCTCGCTAAAATCAATAACAATAAATTAACAATGTGATCAAATTACGTCCTTTCTTTTTGGTTTACCTTTCTACTTAGATATAATAGCTCTCCGCCGCTTTCACCATTTCCACTTGAGTCGAAACGAAAAGTATCAAACGGTAAGCTTTTAGCAATTTTTGGAAGGAACAAGTAATCTTTATTGCCTATTTTTTATACAAAAAGACCGATTAATTTACATTTACAGTAAACTCTAAGGGTTGCTAATAAACCAGTACCTAATGATCCGTGAAGTATAAGTCCTAATTTCGCGCCACGAGTATCATTTCTTACAAAAGTCTCATTACGTTCTAGGATTCCTACTATTGTCTGGTCTAAGTTATTTTTTATGAATAGCTTTATGCTTTTAGTTTCAGCGGAAGTTTTCGTCATTTTTTAATAATAAGTAATACATGTATATTTTTTTGCAATATCTAATTAAATATTGATATTGATATCGATATCGATATCTCTCGGATCTTTTTTTAAACGGTACATGTAAATGACGTGTAATACATGTACTGTATGTTTCGGAACGGGAGAAAGAGCAAACAATGGATAGTTTATAGCCAATCCGAAAGACATTTAAAGACTACGTATAACTTTTTTATTCATCTGGCTGCGATAAAAAAGGTTCCACCAGATTATTTTCAATTTGATGAATTTCTTCCTTTGTGAAACCCAATTCATTAATAAAATATGATTCAGTATTTCCATATTTTTCGTAAAATTTCTTTAAAGTTAAGATCATTGATTCATATCTGGAAAAACAGGAACTTAGATTAGATTTAAATACGCCTAATGTCAACTACGTGTACATGTATAAGCATATTTAAACATACTGTGCAGTAAGCGCGTGTCCGCATTCTTCTATTGTAAATGCTGTATTGAATTTATCAGAGATGATTTGTAATTCGTTTTCATCATAACCTGGATTGGATTTTTTGCAAATTTAATAAAAACTCCATATACATAATCAATAAAAAATATATTACTTAACCTTGCGTCTGTGTTGTTATCTCATATTCTCGTGCTATTGTCTCATCATCAACCCTCGCCAATTTTAAAAGTAACATGGCAAAGACACCAGTACGATCTCTTCCTGCTCGACAATGAACGAGGAACGGTGAATTCGGATGATAAAGTATATGTTCAAATATTGTGCGGAATGCTTTTTTGCCGGATTCTAAAATTGAGATGTATACTTATAAGGGAATAAAGGAAAATTATTGTTATGTGAAGAATGAATGAAAAAGCTTTATGATTTTTTTGTTTACCTTGCGCAAAACCTACGGGTCCAGCGGTGAAAGGTGCAAAGCTTTCTAGTTTCTTTTCACGTGAAATAGATGACTCAGGAAAAACCGGCGTATGAATGCGTTGAGCATTGGCTAGATTTCTAAGTGAAGATGTAAGTTTCAATCCATAACAATCAATATCTTCAATAAAATTTAGAACATACGCTGGAACTGCTTTAAAAAGGTTTGGGTTCGATCGCAAATCAAATATTTTCTGAATATTTAGTACTTTTAATGCCGCAATGCCATCCTCCGAAATCATAGAAAGTCTAAGAAAAGATTGCATAATCAGAGTTCAAAATTCATTAAATCAAATACTCAAGCCAACTTAACGTGTTCACTTACTCTGCAGAGCGAAAGACGAAACGAGGACGAACGTAATAAACTAGATTGTCGTCATTATTAATGGTGCACTTCCATCCACCCAGATCACGAAAATTCTTCACACCACCAATTTTAATCATTCGAGGAACATTTTTAATTACCCGATTTCTTTTTAGAAAACGCGCTGATTGAAATTCTGGAGAATAGTATTCTAAAATCAGATTGATAAGTTCGTCGGTATGATTGGAGTATTGATGATTTGCACCATCGATCAATTTCAGAGTGTGGTTTGGTATCAAGTTGGCGAAGATGGTTGCATCTGTCACGTAAATTATCTAAAATTTTGTCAAGCCAAGCCTTAATAAATTCTGAAATCATCAATATCTTTGATTATTTAATAAAATGACATATTTTTACTTCATCATCTGTACCATGGATGGTTAAGACGGACGTTGATTCCGGGATATTTTTAACTAGATAAATACCTGGTTAATAAAAAAGAATATTCATTTAATCAAAGCAAATCCAAATCACCTAGATGCATGGGAGTCGTCAGCCAATCTGAAAACTCTTCCTTTGTAATTTTCCATGTTATTTCTTGTCCTCGTGACCTAGTTTTCCAATAGAAATGACCTTGAGTCTCCAAAGCTTGCATTGCATCACTTCCGTGTTTTTTTCGTGTCGCTTCCATGGAATATCGCGCAGATATGTTTACTACATAAGGTACATTATGATTTCGTGTTGCTACGAATAACAAAGCTGCCATGGCCCCTTAAAATTTTTTTTATAACAGAGAATCGGTGAATACATGTACATTTACGTAGTCCAAAATACATGTATTTATAATTTACCCACCCCTAGAATGACCGATAAGTGCATAGAGACTATACCCGTATTCTTTTTGCAAGAAATCAAATACGGTTTCAATATCATCTAAATCATTCTAAACTTTATTTAAAGATCATGCTACAGTATTTATGTAATTTCGACAACATTTATTAAAAAATAAAAATTCGTACCTTAAGACACCCATATTTCCGTTCTCCCTCACTTTCACCATTTCCCCGAAAATCAAAACGAAAAGTGTCAAATGGCAATGAAGATGCCAACTTTTTTTGAAACAAATAATTTTTGTGGCCTTTATATAAAAATAGAAGTTACATATCGATATTAATATACTGTAATGTACAAATTTAGATTTCTAAATACATGTATGTATACCGAGTGTTCCATGTAGAATTAAACCAAGCTTTGAACCATTAGTTCTTTTAAGAGTGTCTTTGTTGCATATATTTAGGATGCCAACAATGGTTTGTTCTTGATTATTCTTAATGTAAAGTTTGTTGCATACTGTAGTAGCCATAGCGATAACGGTACATACATGTCACACGAAAAATTATCGTTATTTAAACATTAAATGAGCATCATTATGGGCAACATCGACACAGAGTTCCCGATTTTAGTTTAATAGGCATTCCTTTTTAACGTTACTATTTTAAATCATACGTTTTACTTTGATACGATGACGATGAATAATTAATTCAAAACACAATAAAATTTTTGACTAATTATCAGACAATATTGTTATCGTTATTTTGAGGCCTGACTTTTTGCTAGATTTACGGATTTATTATTCCCAATAAACACAAAGCAATCTCCAGATTCATCGTCCTCATCTTCCTCATTATCCTCATCTTCCCCGTATTCACCTTCATCATCAATAACAAGTGTCATATTTTGCGTGAAATATTCCAAATAATCATCGTCCAAAGAAAGGGAGAAACCATCTTCCGTCATGCAACAATTAAACCGTAATTCATTTAAATCATCTAAAAACTTCCATTTCCGAATTGAATGTGGAAGTTCATAATTAAACACACATTTAGTGAACTCGAGTTTCAACAAAGATTTTGAGGGTAAACCACATAAACAAGCGAAAATGTCCGTTATATTATTACTGATTCCAGCTATTTCAAGTTCAACAAGTTGTTGTTGGTATGAAAGGAATTCACATGTCTTTGATAAGAAGTATATGCAGTTTCGTTTGTTTTCATGTTTATCTTCGTTCTCTTGATAATTCGCGATCAGCAATGAACTGAACTGTTTATGCGGTTGAAAACTCGTTTCAAACATTTCTTTAATTTTTGCGCGCGACATTATACTCGATTCAAATAAGGGAATAGTTATGCGACTAATTTTTTGTGCTTCGCGACAAAAATGTGTCATCATTATACATGTAATCAAGTCTTGGATTTTTTCTGAACTAAATGCCATTTTCACAGTCATCAATACATCTTCGTGATTCATTTCCTTTACAAATGAAAAATAATCAAAGGTATATTTCGGCCGTTCCTCCAGCAAATCGAGTCCAAGTAATGGGATGCGAGAACTCTCTGTAATGGGAAGTTTTGAAAAACAGATTTTCAAGAAATTTTGTATCTTTCCAAATCTTGATAAAGACTTTATGCCATTTTTATTTTTATTGATTATAGAAAATGGGTTCTGCCATAATATCGGAATAGTAATGCGGCACCAATCTCGACTGACGAAGAGACAAGCGAAAAGTGTAGGAGAATCCTCTATATTACTTATTATTTCGATAAATGTTTCGTTGGGAATGCAAAATGCTGGTGATACATTTCTTCCTGACATTGGAAAAAATTAGTGAATTCTCTATACAGAATATTTGGTCCTTATATATTTGATACATGTGTACTGTATGCAATGATGATGCTATACATTGAATCCTAATTTGTTATGGTGAATAGATTAAGAAAAATTCTTTGTTCATGTATCATACAAATAATAAGATCATTACTATGGAACAAAAACAATAAATCCTAGCGCTAATACTAAAAAGTGTTTATACAATATTCCTGATCTGTGAAACAAGTATACCCTGTAAAATTTAAAAAATTCAAACCTTAATTTAACGTTAATCTTTTTTTAATAAACTTAATTATTTGTTTCGCAAATAAATAAATTTAAATTCACAGTGTGATTTCTTAAAAAACCTTAGTTAATAATTTAGAAACCTTGAGGTTAAATTAAAATATAAATTTTTTACAGTAGGGGGGGGGGGGGGGTTTACTATACTATACAGAGCGCTTTAGGGTATTCAAAATTTCAAAATAGAGTTTGATGTTAACTTAGGATTTCATTACATGAACAAAGTCAATTTAAACTCTTAATATTGAATTATATGGAACTTCCAAGCATTAATGCCGTTGTGTTGTCCTTGAACTGTCTATGTACGATTGGGAATGTCGATGTCTTGCAATATTTATAAACTGTGAACTTCTGTTCGGTTACTGATTGTTAATCAAAAGATTAAGAATCGATTGTTAGATTGCAAATTTATCGATTTACTTTTCTTAATTACTGTATTGTGATTGACTAACAACCGAGGCATTCTCAGCTGTATTTTGTTTATTCTTGTATAGCATACAAGTAAATTATGGTGAAAACGAATGTTATAGATCAGAGTGACCTGCGAGTGCTTGTACTTGTAGTAAATGTTGCTACTGAGAGATTAAAACAGGGGTTACCTCTGCTGTAATAATATGAAGTGCATTAACTGAAATTTATGCTTGGGGTTGAGCCCAATTCAAATGTTTGATTTATTGGGGATGCAAACAAATGAATTTGAAAATTAGGCGTATGTATAACTTGTGGAGACAATGGCTGTGAAGCTAGAATAATCGATCGCAGTTTGTGAGGCTGTTGATACATATTGTTTGGATATAAGAAGTGTATATATGCCAAAGCTTGCATTTAAATTATTATCAATACATGCTCTATTATTATTACCATAATTAAGAGCTACAGTGCAATCTATTATTATCACTATTATTATTACCATTATTATTACATGTATTATTTTAAGATGCTACAGTGTTATTACATGTATTATCATTATTAGTTTTATTATTATTATTATTGTGGCTATCTCAATTACCATTGTTGTTCATGTCATTGCTGTAAATACAAGATTATAAGTTAGCATATGATTCTGAAATGACAATGCATAGTGATTGTAATGAGACAGTATACATGTAAATAGTTCATGTTGGCGTGCGTAAATAATGCAGAAGTAACTGTCTTGAAGACTTTTTTTACTTCCCTAATATTACTGTTTTTTTTTCGTATTATTATTACGTGAGCGATTAGTTTGATTCATTTCTGATAAATTTGAGTAATTATGAAGAATTGTTGTGAACTGTTTGATTCAACTCTTATCGAAATCTTTGAATTGATATTTTAAACTATTATTGTTTGATTTTGCTTTCATTATCTTGTGTTTTTTGGTAAATTACTTGCATTTCTTGAATAGAATAAGAGTCGGATCACCTTTCTTTTAATGTCACAATTCTGTGCATTGTTTTGGCTTTGGCTAGATTTCAAAAAGTTCATTCATAATCTTTTAAATATAATTAATTTCTTTGTTGGGTTAACCAATAATAGTTGCTCATATCCTGAAGTGTAGTTTGAATAACCTAATTCATTTAGATTAGCAAATTTTCCGGGTATCTAATTGTAATATTTCTTTATCTTCCTCTTTATCATCTGTTCTTTACCTTTTACATTGCTTTTTGATCATTTGTAACTTATAGCCATAGTTATTAGTCACGTGAGATATTGTGTCAATTCAGCAATCGCAATCTCGTCGTTATATGCTTCATTTTTTCCCAACGAAAGAGACGTGCTAAGTGTACCAAGACCGTTGAACAGATTCTTTTTGTTTCGCAAAAATTACTCTACTCGAGTAAAGTAGCAAAAGCAACAATCGAATTCTGTTAATGTAATAGATATTTCTAACTGGACTTTACAGAACTGAACTGAAACTGGACCTAGACCGGGCTTCCTAAGAAAAGGGAGAAAACTTGAAAGTCATAAATCAATTTTTGAAAAATAATTACGCGCGTGAATCGGACAACAATTTTGGGTGCATGTACCATATTTGACTATACAGCACATAATAATTTACATATACTTTCGAATTTTAACTTTGTTCTAATAGAAAAATATTTGCATCTCAGCAATATCTTTTATATTAAAAATACTTCCAAAATCTAACAATTAATGCATTTAATTTCATCTTAAAGTTCCTTCGCTCTTTATACATGTAACGGTAACTGCTGATAAATTCATAACGAATAACGATAATGATAAAAAGGTAACACAAATCTACAGTACATGCCACAGAAAGTACCAATTTACGTGTGTAACCATTTTTTAAAAATACATTTATCAAGTTTTCTCCCTTTTTCGATAATAAACATCACTTTATTTATCTTTTGCCACTTCGTCAAAAATGATGGTGTCCACCTATACGCAGCTTAACAAAATTGAAAAGGGGAAGATTTTGGCACCACAAATGCCGCTCAAATCGCAAAAATACTCGGACGCGACTCTACAACGGTACGCCGCTTTCTAAACAAATATAAATGAACCAGATAAGTGAAAACTTACCACGTTCAGGAAGATCACCAGCCTTAAACAATCACGAAAAGGATTTACTTATACGTGAAGCTAGCGAAAAATGACATGCATCACTATTCGAAATAGTCAACAATTAGACCTCACTTGTAGTTTATCAACCGTCGCAAATGTATTGCACAACTCCGGACTTAACTCACAAAGAAACCTCATATCTCGGAAACACATACATATGTTCATATTAAATGGTGTGAAGAAAATAAATCAGCTTATGATTTGTCGAAAATAATTTTCTCTGATGAAACCGGTGTGGAAATTGGAAAGCAGTCACGGCAGCCAAGAGTTTGGCGGCATCCTGGAGAAAAGTTTAACGTTAATTGTTTGGCGCCTACCTTTAAAAGTAGACAAAAATCTGTAATGGTTTGGGGATATTTCACGGAGGGACCATTAATTTTCGTGATGAATATAAAAAAATGGTGAAAAAATAACTGCAAATACTTACCTCGAAACCTTAAAACTCAATTACTTCTATTCCAGAACGCAATTAGGGAATTAACTGGAAGTCGCGCAATCTTTCAACATGACAATGCGGTGATACATACTGCGGGAGAAATCAAGGGAAAATAAAATCGTGGTTATTGGCCGGCGAATTCCCCAGACCTGAATCCAATAGAGAACATTTGAAAAGATATTAAAGGACAATATTCAAACAAATGAGAATTTTCCGACGACTATGGACGAACTTAAGATTGCACTGAAGATGGAGTGGAAAAAATTTGATGTGGCCATTTTAGAACGGGTTACTGCATCAATGCCACGAAGAATTAATGCAGTATTAGAGTCAATGGAGGGCAAATTAAATATTAAATAAATTTTATTTTTTATTTGGTGTATAAATTGACGAAAATCAAATAAATTGAAAAATGATCTAAATTTTTTTTATTTTGCATCGGGCGATACTTTCTGTGGGTATTGTACATCGAACCACAACATTAATCAAATACATGCAACAAGCGTTATAGCATTAAATACATGACATGTATTGTTCATCGCTTAACGAGCTGGTTCATGCATTCAAGTTGTTGAAAGGGACATACATGTAATTCATTTGATCGTTTGCGTTTTTCAATTTTATTGGCTAACGTTAATGTCAATTTATTTATAAAAGATACCGATACATGTACATTAGACCAAACGTAATAATGTCGTTTATTGTATCACAAGCAGATGATGAATCTAATATCGATATTGATATCGATATCAGTAATTTCGAGAAACAGGCTACTTTGAATTCTACATCTTTGCTACGAATAAAACCAGACAACTCAAATATAGAATCGCATTATTCTTCTACATCCATTAATCAAAATACAGATATCACAATCAACTCTCATATACTGCAAACTACTACGCCATCGCAAACTAATGACTGCGGCAGCAGCTCTGATAAAAATGTCGAGGATAATAAATTCTTGGCCTATAAATCCAAAATCCCAACTGGAAGAAACGTCGTTGATGATTCCGAAAATAGATTATCAGATGCTAGTGAAGACTCGGACACTTTAAATCGGGACGGCGCACTCACTCCGCCTGGATTTTGGTTGATTGACGTAAATTCACCTCCAAGAACACCAGAGCAAACGGCTCACTTAGCTGCAAAAGAAGCAGAAGGCAGAAGACGAACTAACGAAGAATGGAAAAATACTCAAAAAAAGAAAAGGATATCACCGAAAGGAAGTAGAATTTATGGAAGTCATATGACAAAATGAGTCCAAAATTTTAGGGAATAAATTATTCAATTTTTATATTATCCTTTAATTTAACATTATTTAATAGAATTTATTTTGATGTTCTTGTATAATATAATTCAAGTCGATTTTTTTTAGAAACTGAAATATTGTTAAGAAATTTTTGATTGATTTTACAATTTTTATATTTATAATTCGAACAGGATTACAAAATTTATTACCAAAAACTTATTACACGATATCTCAAAAACCAGTGATTCCATTAAATGAAGATATTACCATAAGAATTCGAGACAAAATCTAATGAGGATATCTTCATTTACATGGGCAATATATTGCAGGTGTGTATATAAAAGATGAAAGTGAAATAGTTAACAGCTAAAAAGATGAAGCAATGAAATAATAATGCTTTTATAAGTTTCAAAATTCTACTATAACAATATTTTAGTATCTTATCTTGATTCTCGATTAAAGATTTGAGTTCACTACTGCATAATAAAGAAAGCTATTTCTACTTCAACTTCTGAAATTTATCTATTTTTATTATTTTAAAGAAAATCTTCTAATATATCTTCTAATTCTCAAAAAAGATGGATTGTTAGATAACTTGAAATTGTATCTCTTTCAAAAATGCTGAGAATGATTCATTTCACATTACAATGCATCAGATTTTCCTTTTTATTATGAAGCCATTTTGCTGAGATATTATGGAAGAAAAATATTTCCTTTTGGACATCAGATATTTATTTTAAAGAAAATTCTTAATTAATTAATATTTTTCAATTAATTAGTTTGTTATATGATTTTTAAATTTTAATATACGCCATTTGGTTGAGGTGGCTTGGACTTTAAAAATAGTTAGCTGAGCTAGGTAACTTCGAACAAGCATGACTTCAATTTATTACGTTACATCCCAATTACGTTATAGAAAAAAATCGAGAAATCAGACATCACGAATTCTTTATGTTTTTAATTTAACATGCGCAAAGACCTACTCTATAATATGTTAAAATTAACCTGCTTTTTACGGAGAGAATGTTTACCGTATAATAACGATGCTTGGCATATCATCAAATATGTCAACTATAATGTATCAGCAATCTAAGATACAATGCGACCTAACAATTAATGCAATAAATAGCTGGCAAATTTCTCATCCTAAAACGCCAAAATCGTGCTAAGTCATGAAAGTCGTCATATATTAAGCATATATATAACATTTTAAACTAATCCTTATACTTATTTTATGTATTTCCATATTTTACGTATTAACTTATTATTATTAGAAATAATGTTTTCTATTACCATTACAAAACAATCTTTAATAAGTTGATATAGTCCGGTGCAAAAAGATTTGTGCCTCAGATAAACATTAATAGATTATTTTTTCAAAATAAAATTTTAATTTGGGATTTATTTTACTAATAATAACTTTTTTGAATTATTATTTCTCAAATTTTACTATATAAAATTTGATTAAAATTAATATAAAAATTATATTATAAATAATTTAATTACTAAACTTTGAACCTTAATTTCTTTATACTACTGATTCAAAGTTTATGAAATTTAGAACATATATTTATCAAATATAAGGCAACCTGCTTGCATAATTTAAAGTTCTAATATTGCAAATTGATAGTGATAATATTTAAAATGTCTTTTTTAAAAAAAAAATAATTTATTTAGTTTTTTTTTTAGTAAATTAATGCTTCATTTATTATTGAATTAAAGTATAATAGAATAATTAAAATAATATAAAAGTTAAATTAGATTATTTTTTATTTGATATAAAAGATTGGTTAAAATTTGGATGATTTTTATATTGATATTCATATGAGATTCATGTGCAGCTAAAATTTAACGTTCGATATTAATATGCACGATATGATGTGCAACATGCATCGCATACTGTGGCACATTACTAGAAAAAATTTATTGATTGATCTACTTGAATTTAGCCGACACGCATCCTTTTTATGTTGCTGTTGTTGTTCGTCGCCGTCGTTCGTCGCCATCGTCGTCGTTTTTGAGACGCCTCATCAACAAATAGTAATATCGATATAACTATTTTAATCATATTCATCAGCTGCGTCGTCATCATAAAAATTATATTCACTCCATATCGATATTTAATTAATTATACTTTTTCCCATAATAATTAATAATCAATAAAAAAATGAGCACTCGTCAAAAACCGGGCCGAAAACCTCGTATTTCCACATCCAGCCTACGAGGCAAAAAAGCGATAACTTTTCGACAAATGGAGATAAAATGGGAGGAAATTAAAAAATTATTTGATTTCAATATACCGTGCGGTCGTTTGGCTGCTATTGTCATTAAAGCTTTATTGATCGTCGAAAATCGTCCGAGTACGGTTACCGAGATTACAGATACGTTGATTGATTATGGCTTGTCTGAACACGAGTACAGTATTTTATTTTTCTGAAACTTTAAATATAGTAATAAATATATTATTTATATAAATAATTAATAATATGTCATCATCAGCGCTGCGGAACCATCGAAAAGTATTGGCTCTGCGCTCACAAAATATTTTCGAAATAAACGTAAAGGGGACCCATTAATTAGAGAAATTGGAGAAAGAGGACGTTTCTTTATGAGCTTGGATAGAAACCATCCTGGCATTGCAAAATTTTTTCCACCAACAAAAGATACTGCCACCACGACAATAACGACATTTAATGAGTCAACAAGCGATGAATCTATTCCTCCTCCTACTATCACCGCTATTACTCCTGTTACAAGCACCACCAAATATCCACTAAGACGTGGGAGAGGAGAAAAAAACAATAATAATTCTAATCGTAATTTACGTTCCTCTTCAGCAATTACGCCGTCTAAGATAGTGAGAGATACCTCTGTTGATGAATCTCAACAAAAAAGCGTAAAGGGGAGAAATTTTAGAATTGGAAGATATAGTCCAATTTCAATAAAGAAAGCATCACCACGAAAAATTACAAGCAGCAGTAACAATAATAAAAAGATTATAGGCAATAGAACTAATAATAATGTAAACATTAATGAAAAACCAGAGCCTTCATCATCATCAGTAAATATAGTTTCTCCTAGTCGCAAGCGTCGAGTTATTTTAGATATTCCAGAATCGATTTCGCCAATGGAAGAGGATTCTGATGTTTCAAATTCTGAAGATAATGAAACCACCACCTCATCATCGTCAGAATCTTCGGCATCCTCGATTGGTAACCATAATTTACCTCAAGAATTAAACGTTGTTCCAACACGTCGTCTGTATAATTTACATAACGGACAGTCTAATGGACAGATTGTTTTGACTTCTGAACAGCAACAAAAACTCCTTGATGCTGAAAATAAATTTGCACAGATTGAGTATTTGTTTAATTTCGATTTGCCAGGTGGTCATTTGATGAAGCCTATTGTCAAAACACTATTAATGCTCAATAATCAGGCTTCTACTGTTGCTGAAATTACTGACATCATGGTGCAATTTGGCTTAACTGTGCATAAGTAAGTTATGATAAAATTGATTAATTAAAAATTTTTTTATATTAATTTTTATAATTAATTAAAAAGTGCCGAAGAACCAGCAAAATCTATTTCCTCGAGTGTCTCGAAATATTTCAAGAAATTAAATAATGATCCATCTCCATTACAGAGAGTTTGGCAACGGCGCCGTGCTACATTATTACTTGATGAATCAATCGAACAAATAGCTCGAGTTCTAAATCGTCCTAATATTTATCTTACTTCGCCTGGCGGCGTAGACTCCAGCGGAGAATCAATTTATGATACTGCATCAGAAATGAATTACGATCCGAAAATTGATTTATTCACACGGCAAAATGCAAATCAAAATACGAATCAACATGTTGAAATGTACTCAAATTGGCCGCCACCATCACCATCACCTTCTCGTTCCGCTTTTTCGATTTATGATCATTCTTCAGCAATGGATATTATATCGATTAGCCCTGCTCCCATATCAAGAATCACTGTTCCTGCTGGGCAACAAGTCGCTTTGACTCATGATTTTCATTCGAGAGCTTTTTCGCGGATGGACCGTTATTCTCCAATAGTTCAAAGAGAACAAAATCAACATCAACATCATAATCATCATCATACAAGAATATATTATGAATAAAATAAATATTAGCTATTCTTTTTATATGTTGCTGATTGATTGCCTTTGAGTTGCTATAATATTTTACGAAATCAATGCATAAAATCATCGTCTATCAATATTAACAAAATAAAATTGATATTATTTTGCTTCGCTCACACGGCATCATGATTCAATAACGATACATGTATTTGGTTATTTTATGATTGATAAAATTTTCTAGTACTGTTAAACTAAAATTCAAAAATATCAAGGAGGAATCTATTGAAAAGCTATACAAAATAGCAATGACTATATTGTTTCGCGCTCAATAATATTACTGTAGATACATACTCGAATTATTTGGACAGTCCAAATGCCAGCACAGAATAATTTATATGATCTTTCACATTCCCAAATTTTTAAGTTATCATTATTAAATTTCAAGCAAGATATGAACATCATTGATGCAAAATTAGAAATTTGCGTTGTAAAATTGTTAAAAATGCACAAATTTTTGATCGACCCGGGCGAACATATCCGACTCAAGAGATGAGAAAAAAAAGGGGTATCCTTATGTCATGCGAAATGACCCCTGATCCTATTAATAATTACTTCCCACCCGGAAAATTCTATTTTGATGTTTAAAGTTTGGGAGACTAGATTGTTTATGAGTACACCAAACTGGATTTTGGCATCTGTTACTTATTTTTCACTTCTGGTATCAGATTTGTTTTGCCGGGTTGATCAAAAATTTTACGTATTCTTATTGGTTCAAAAAAGATCGTCAGGATCGGAATGCCCGTTTTTCATTTGACCCGAAAAGTGTGGTACATGTATTACGATGCACTATACTGTCCCGGAAACGATGTCCATCGGTTACCAAAAATTCTTTGTTTCTAAGCGTATATACAATTATAATTCTCTTATTGATATTTCGGATCATACAGAAAGAAACAAATAATACAGGCAATGCAAATCCACTATAATTCTACATAACGTGACTCGAATAAATTATATTTGCTTTTCATTGGCAAATGATAACCGACTAATTCGACCTGGTATTAAGGAAATCTGCCACGTAATCCAGTTCCGAAACTAAGATATGACCTTTACTTCTTTTGTTCATCGAGAAATAGTTCAGGCTTAAATTCATGTGGATTATGACAAATTTTAGGATCTTGATGAATAACAGTGATATTTATTTTGAATTGTGTCATGCCATTTATGCTTCACAACATCGACTTCATTGTTGTGGGTTCGAGAAAGTGCTAAGGGTGGAGAGACTTGAAGGGCTATAATAAAAATTACTTTACATGTAGTAATTGTGCCTTCATTAATTACTGCTGCAATGTATTTAAATTGGCTAAGTTTATCAAAGGAAATGCTGTTTTTGTCGTCGCCAAAAATCGTGCTAAGCTCTTCAAGTAATTTTTTTGACATTTGGATTGAGTTTAATCAAAAATTTAAAAACATTTGAGCTCTAAGACCAATTTACTTTATAATAATCGAAATGTAAAGATAATGAAAATTCACTTACTGTTGTAATTGATGTATGTATAAGTAATTCAGTTAGGAAAATGCAAATTTCTTGATCAGATAAATTTATAAATTTATTTTTTGTAATTCATTGTTTTTCTCTAGTGAATTAGCATTTAGCAGTAAATTCAAAACATCTGTTTTTCGATTATAAGAATTCTCATTCACTTCGTTTTTGAACAATTTTATTGTATGATGATTGAACCATTTTCCACTTATTTTTTAGTCTTCTATAAAAAATTGATTTCAACAGCATTTCAGGCACATAAATAAAATAAGCGATTGATGTTCCGTTTTTCAATAGTCGTCCAGAAGTCTCGCCCAATATGAATTTTCGATCCGGTCGTCAAATTATTGAAATATTTAGTCATAACAGATAGTTGAACGAGTAGTGACATCAAAGAATAAACGTAACGCCTGCTCCTTAATATCAATAACATGCTCAGCATCGAACTCATTCCAGTACACTGGTAACATTCCAAAGTGATATAAAAACAGTGTATAATGGAAGTTTTGATTTGAAATAATTTGCTCAAATATTTTTCGATGAAATGCCAGCTTTCATAGTTGTCGTACAAGAAGACATGTGCAACGTGTTTTGTATTGTCAAGAGTTTAGTGAGCTTTATTGACACGGTAAATGAACTTTTGGTGTTTGGCTGTGTCAGTTTTATTCAAGTAAATTTCGCGATTTGGTATCTAGAGTTCAAATATTGTTTGGGCTGTATTGGATCAATTTGAATTTGTCACCTCGCAATAGATGAACATTACCGATTGGAATAGATCTGGAAGTAGATTTTCTCGTGTAAAATAGTTAAAATAAAAAAATAATGATAAAATCAAAATTTCGAAAGATGTTTAAATCAAAATTGAAAGAACGATACGTTAAACTTTTTAGGTTTGATAACATTCTTTTTTAAGGCTTTGTTTGCAAACTCCTCCAGTGTCACCAATAATCGGGGCGCCGTCATGTGATATTCCGGAAAACAACAATTTCCAAGAATACAAAATGCAATCAGTCCTCTGTTAACAAATTTATTATAATATGGTCCAGTGCAAAAATGATTTATATCTCAAATAAACATTAATAGATTATTTTTTGAAGTTAAAATTTTAATTCTGTCTTATTTTAATAGATATTAAATGTATATATCTTAATTATATTGTTACAATGAATTGGTAAGTGGGGTTTCACTTTAATTCACCTTAACAATATAGGGTTGGGAGAGACTGAAATAATTAAAGATAAAGAGAGGGGAATTAGACTATACTTTCAATAATGACAAAGATTTCTAAGGCCTGTGCCAATATCTACAGATATTGTCTTTCAAAGAGGAAATAATAAAAGGAAAGAATAATATAAATCAAAAGAATTATTATAATTAATTAGTGAAGTCACTATTAATTAATAAA